CCAATTGCCTTTGTAAAAGCCCGTGGCGTTACATGGATCCAATTAGAGATCATAGATTTTCAAACGTCTCTCTTTACATCGATCTATCTCAATCCTGTTACAATTCTCTCAATTTGGTGTTATGAAAATAATATCGAAATTAGTTTGTGTTCTACGAATTTCGTCATGGATTCGTCTTCAATAAAGGTCAAGAATTGAGAGAATAGGCTCATCCGAACCATAGTCTGAACCTCAACCTCCAGACCCTGGTCGTCTGGATTCGTCTTCAATAAGTGACATGATGTGATCAAGGAGGACAGCGTATCATCCAACCCATCGAGAGTGTGCATTCAAACTAAGTCAAATCATACGCAAAGTTTGAGAGAATGAGGCGACAAGAGTGTCGAAGACAAGCTCGAAAAGGGTGGAGTAGAACCCTAGGCCATAACCTTAGAAGTCAGGTTTTTGATATGTGGCTTTGGAATTAAGTCTGTCAATATGAAATATGAAAAAATTTGGTGTCGATCAGATACTTGATGAAAGATGCACGAAGTTGTATGACCGCTTGCCAAAATATCGTCTACTTGAGAAGGATTGGAAATGCCTTAAAATGTACTATATGGTTAGGCATGATGTCAGCTCTCCTCCATAGGGGTGTACATGGTCCGAGTTGAGTTGGGTTGAAGGATTTTTTTTTACCCAACCCAATTCTCTATTTTCGGGTTGAGTTCGGGTTGGTCCAAAAAAATTAAAAAAAATTAATTTGTATGACCTAAAATGATAAAAAAATTACTACGTAGATCAAAAATATCAAACTCTCTATTGCATTTATATTATCACCTATAAATCTGTAAAGAATATACAATGAATCAATTCCAAAGTTATCATATATAATTAAATTATGTTCCTTCACCCTTATAATCATTCAACAAAATGTCAATTCACCTATAAATATGTAAAGAATATTCAATGAATTAATTCCAAAGTTACAGCATTCAACAAAATACCTAAAAATTTAAAACTATTCAACCCTCTATTGCATTCTTAATTCCTACAAAAGAAAAATAGCATCTTGAAAGTTAGTACTGTTTTAAGATTGTTGGGATAAAGCGTAGTGTAACTTCAAATATTTTACTTACATTGAAAAATAATTATTCTTGCATAACGTTTGTGAAGCTTGAAGGTCTTAAATCATCTGAAAAATAAAATATAAATTGTGATATAACAATATAAAATACATCTTAACACAGACAATAAATAGATTTGAAGTTACTTGTCTCAATCTTATAACAAATCTCTAAATCTTCAAGTTGTTGAGGAATATCTAACGATACTCAGTTTCTATCTATCCAATTTTGTGTACATATCAGAACTTCTATTGTTTTAGGTGCCAAAGAACTCCTAAAAGAATCAAGAATCCTCCCACTCATACTCAATGCTGATTCAGAAGATACAGTCGACACTGTAACGACCAAAACATCTTGGGCAATTTTCGATAAAACTCTATATTTAAACTCATTTGCTTTCCACCATGCCAAAACATCAAAATTATCATCAGTTCTTCATTAGAGTCATATAAATATCGATCCACGTCATTCTTTAACTCAAGTGAATGTTGCTCTTCTCTTCTTCGCTTGTATCTTGATAATACTAATATTGAACCACTCAAATTCTCTTCATCAATTGTGTTCATCCCATACTCATGGACTTAGAAGTGAGTTTTGATTCAAATTGATGATGATCTTGAGCATTATCATAAAACTTATAGTAATCATACAAACGAATTAAATAATTCTTTATGCCATCCACCATCACTTTAGCCATAGCATCTTCATAAATATACGAAAAGCAAAATGATATGTAATCCAATTTGTAACGAGGATCGAGTACCACTGCTATGAATATCAACTTATTAATTCTTTCCATTGAGCCCCAGTATTTGTCATACTTAACTTTCATATTTGAACTCACGTTACTTAAAACAGAGTTCACATTTGTACTCCACTAAATTAAAAGTTCTTGAATACTCCAAAGTTCATAAAAATAAGAATTAGAAGTCACATATAAATAACCACTTAACTTCGAGTGACATCATAGAAAATCTTCAAAAACTTTACGAGCAAAGTTTTTCCATAGTTAGTGACCCTATTCTTTTGTTTCGATGATCCCCTTTTTTGAAGTCAACATAATCTAATTCTTCTTCGTCTAATACTTTGAAAGTTTTTTCAAATTTCCAAATTTCAAGGCATGATCGAGCATCAAATAAATAGAATTCCATCGAGTCGCCACATCCAAACAAACAAGTGCTTTACATTTAATTTTTTCTTGTTCAACACGATCTTTAAATTTTGTCAATCTCTTGGGGGATGATTTAACATATCTCACGGCATTGCGAACACTAGAAATGGAGTCATGCATTTCTTTAAGCCCTTCATTCACAATCAAATTAATTATGTGAGCACAACACCTGATGTGTAATATTTCTCCATCCAAGACAAGTGAATTCCAACTTCTAAGTCTTCTCATAATATATGAAATAGCTATATGATTGGAACTTGCATTATCAATTGTGATAGAGAAAACCTTATCGATTCTCCATTTCAATAAACAACTCTCAATAATCTTGTCAATAGTCTCTCCCTTGTGGTTAGCAACTTGACAAAAGTTGAGAATTAATGTTTTGCAACGAAGTCCATGTGTCAGTGGTAAGACAAACCCTCTTGGAATGACTGACTGACTAAAAAATCTTTCGACTTCTTTTTTTCTTATAGATAGAGCTGAAATATATCTCTACCAATGGTTACTCTTGACGGAGGGTCAAACTTAGGACATGCAATACTACAAAATAATTTGAAACCCTCGTTCTCTACAAATTTAAATGATAATTCATCTATAATTATCATCTTGGCATATGCTCCTCTATATCTTGTTTGACTAAATAAGGAAGTAACAATATTATTACCACCCTTTCCATCTATTGAACTTTCTACACTTATTTTTTAAGTGCTTCTATAGCGTGCTAGTTCCACAAGAATTAGTATCACAAGCATACTCCTTAGAACAATAGTTGCACTTGCACCTCTTATTATTGTTCTCTAATCTTGTAAAGTGATCCCATACGGTTGATTTACTGAGTTTCTTCTCCTTAAATTCAGATTGTGTAGCCATTGGTGGTTTCAATGCATTATAATTACTAGAGTTACTTGCACATGCAGTTTCACTATTGTTTTTCATCTATAAAAAGTAAAATAAAACTATTATGATTCAAACATTTAACCCAAATGAACAATTATCATAGAATGCATCAAAGTTAATATATACAATCAGTCTTTGCAAAGGATATAACAAAAAGAGAAAAAGCTTACCCGTTATAGCGTTCCAGGAGATTAAAGAGAGAAAGACGGCGTGCAAGAAAGAAACAAACAAAGAACGTGAGAGAATGCTATTGAGATCAATTTTTTTATGAGAGACTAAGCATCGAGAGAGATTTGTATTTTGTGGAGAGGTTGAGAGCAAAGAGATAGGAAGAGGAATGGATTTAGTGGAGAGGCTGAGAGCACAATGGTAGAAGGGGAGGGAGAAATTTCTTTAACTAATAGAGTAATTATTTTTTGATTGGATTTTGAGCTTTAATTTTTTTTTTTTTTAATATTTTTGGGTTGGGTCGAGTTGACCCAATCATTTTCTCTTGGTACACGAACCCAACCCAAATTAGATCGGGTTAAAAAAAAATGGACCCAACCCAAACCCGAAATCCAACACAACCCAATCCAACCCTTATATTTTGGGTTGGGTCGGGTTGGGTTCTCGGGTTTCCGGGTTGGGTGTACACCCCTAAGCCTTGTGGCCTAGGTGAGTTGTGGCATACAGGTGTGTCACAACGTGGGTGAATGTCGCGAGACGAGCATCTTCCTTTGGATAGCACGGGTGCACCAGTATTGTGCCCCAGCCCATATGCCGGAAGTTAGATTATGCACCGCTACTCAAAACGGGTACCATAAAGGATTTAGCAAGATGATCTATACCAAGACATCTCAATCATGGATAATTGAAAACTAGATTTATAGTACTTCATTAATTTATTTTAAGTTTTTTGACTTTTTAGTAGGAGAGTTACAAAGGCTTGAAAATGCCTCGTAGAGGTCAAGATCAAATGTTTCATTTTGGGACTATATAAAGTCATGTATGTTATCATTGCAGGAGAGACTTGAAAAAGTAGTAAAAAGAGAATTTGTGCTTTCATGTAGTCAATGTCTAAGTTTTTTTTTTTTTTTTTTTGCGATTCTATGTAGTCTTCACAAGTAGTGAGTGTTCTTACCTTTCCTTAACCCATGACTAAGTTTCTTTGCAATTTTATGTAGTTTAGGTTGTATGTTTAAAATCATTCAAGCTTAACATGATCAATCTTGCTTGTGGAGTGATTCGAATCTCAAACAAGTGTTCTTGCATTGAGATATTCAATTGACAAGGTAATCTGAATCTTACTTCCCTTTAGTTATTCCTTATAATTTGAAATTAGTGTTTTCCCTTAGGTTGATTCCTTATCACAGGTACACGGGAGAGTTCAATGCCTGATGAGAATTTCGAAATGTCCTCGATGAGATGGTCGAACATGGGTTAGTCCCCAACGAATGTGTGCGAGAAAGCCAAGACATCCGAGCCATCCTGAGACAGGGATAGCATCACAATGTATAGTTGTGTTTGTTATAACTGAGATGAAGATGAGATGTGACGTTGCTTATGAGAGACCTTAGCCTAGAGTAGAGGCAAGGTTGAGTTGGATGACAAACTTGGATTCTGCACAAAGGTTCGACAAAGGAAAGTCAGGGCGAAGATTATGAATGAGGCTTGAGTTCCCCCTTAAGGTTTGTCATGAGCGTGCCAAGATCACAACATTGAACGGTTGAAGAAGTACGACTTTGTCAGCACAAAACACACACGGCCCACAAGCAACATCAACTCCAACACCATCAAAGCCTAACGCAACCCAAATTAAAGGTCATCTTTTCAATTTGGAAAAATGAAGGAAAAACATAAGAAATAAGCAGCTACAAATTAAAGGTCATTTACATAGGAAAATTTTACAAAAAATACAATACTGTGTATCTTCTTCAAACAAAGTTGGAGCCCCCATGTATTTTAGAGACAAAATTCACCCAGTTTTACTACAAACAATCTTCAAATCTGAATTTCATGGTGAAAAACTAGTGTATTGATTATCCCGAATACCCCATCTGGTGGTCCCTCGATTCACTGCTCCCCGCTCCACCGTGGTTGGAGCTAGAATTCGATGACCGAAATGGCCACAGATAGGAGAATGGATTACGCCTTCCTGGATTAACCCTGGAGGAGCCATTGCCATTGTTGTTGTAGCTGTTGTTTCGGTTTTGACTGTTGGTGTTATGGCCCTCGCCCCCCATTACCTGTGGTGGCAGTTCCTGGCGGCAGACAGGGCAAGAGTTGTGCTGAACCAGCCATGGAACTATACAATCTGAGTGGTACATGTGATTACAGGCCATCTGCCTTGCTTCAGATCCCAGTTCAAATTTTTCTTTGCAAACTGGACAATGTGAATCTGAGCGAAGATGTCGCTGCGTGATCTTAACCGTTGGCATAGCGTCAATCAATGATCTAGATGCCGGTGGAGGACCACGATGACCATTTTCCGAAAGCTGTTCGAATAGCTCCTCCAGTCCAGGGCCTATGACGTAGTCACCACTATCACCCCGTGTAATTCCAATGCCAGGAGCCCCATTGAAGAAAGCTTCTAGCCTACGGTTTCTCAAAGGAATTTGACCACCAAATATTAATAGAGGGCCAAATCCTGGGTTACGCTCAAAAAGTGACTCTGATCTTCCCCTCATGTCGTTTCTTTCGGCTAACCGTTGTCTCATAAAAGCAGAGAACGCTCCCAGCCCATGATCACGGTCTTCATCAGGATCCAGACCAAAGAAATCAAACGGGTTTCCAGGCACCATGTCATCAAGTTCTTGAATGAATCCTCCATTACAGTTGGGGCAAACTGCATCTCGACCACAAAGACGTATTGACCTTCTGCATCTATAACACCAATGGGTGTTCTGCCCACTCGACATCCTCTCTTCTCCTACTCTCTATATAAATATATTAGCAGAAGAAAGCTGAGACTTATCCCTGAAACTCCTCAAGCACCAAAATGCTATCTCAGCATAATGTCTTAACTTTTGCAATATATACGAGACTAAATCAACTTCAACGAGTAAATAAGATGTGTAGTCATCACAAGCAACTGATACAACATGAAAAAGCATTAGAAAGAACCAAACCATACATCATAAGCCAAGTAAACTAATGTGTGAGATCCCACATCGGTTGGAGAGGAAAACAAAACATTTCTTATAAGAGTGTGAAAATCTCTTCCTAGTAGATGCGTTTTAAAACCTTGAGGGGAAGCTTAGAAGGGAAAGCCCAAAGTGGACAATATCTGCTAGTAGTGGACTTGGGCCGTTACAAATGGTATCAAAGTCGGACACTGGAAGGTGTGCCAACAAAGACATTGGGCCCTCAACAGGGGTAAATTATGAGATCCCACATCGGTAGGAGCGGGGAACAAAACATTCCTTATAAGGGTGTGAAAACTTCTCCCAAGTAGATATGTTTTAAAATCTTGAAGGGAAGCCTAGAAGGGAAAACCTAAAGAGGACATATCTGCTAGCAGTGGGCTTTGGCTATTACATAATGAGTTCATAAAACTCGAATATAACTACTATCTGTCAAGAACCCATACCTACCACCCAAATATAACCATCAACAAGTTCTATAGTTTATGCATAAATGACAATCACAACAGAAAATCCAGAGATCAAACACTTCATATTTTCATCTGCTCCACTCTTAACTACTAACTAGTCTTTTTTTTCTTTTCTTGATCTTCCTTGGCACAAACATAACCCTATAGCTCATGCATATAAATAATTTTATTATTTTATATAGGAAACGATTTCATTGATATGATACAAAAGGTGAAACCCATCCAAAGAGATCACAAAAGATTCCTCCAGTAGATATGAGAGAATTTAACCCATAACTATAAACAAGAACCAAATTTTTACACCAATATAGAGAAGTGATGCTTCTAGGACTTTGAGCAAGGAGCTGACACTAAATACATCAACATCAATATTGAGATTGAGCTAAACTTTGAGGTAAATGAAAGAAACATAAAGACAAATTTTAATATGAAGCATCAAATAGATCAAATTTTACAAAATCAAAGAAGTGGTAAAGCTAATAAAGTATCAGAATCCAATAAAGTTGAACAAACCAATCACTCCAAATTCATCCAATAAAACGCCCAACATCATAAAGACAGATAAACGTACAAATCCCACAAACTAACTTCAAGCCACAACAGTATAGAACAAGCACACATTCATTAAAAAAAAAACAAATACAGAGCAGGAAATGAAAGCTAAAACACATATTCCAAAGTTGATACAAGTAAAAACAATTAACAGCACTTCAAAATCTCCACTCAAATTTCAATTCTAAATAGGTCACAGAAACAAATCAAGGATTCATCCGACAGCACCCATACGTGAAAATTACCAAAAATGCTCCAAAGATAGAAAACAGCAAAGACACAAGAAACGTCTAAAACAGAAAGCAGTGTTACAGAGGCATTGATTGGAATTGAATGAATGTTAAGAAAAGGGGGAGAAAAAGTAACCCTAGAAAATGAGTTACAGAATTTAACCTTTAGGAAGACGAAAGAGAAAAGTGGATCCACCGAATTCCCTTTTTTTCTCGAACTGAACAGCCACAGAGAAGAGAGAGAAAGAAGAGAGAGAAAGAAGAGAGAAGACGAAGAAGACAGAGTGGATGATGGGTTAACCCAGGCTTTGGGCTACGAGGTGGAGAGAGGACCGACGTGACCTTTTGTTTCCATTTCCATTTTATTTATTTATTAATCTATTTATCTATTTATTTAATTGGTTGATATTTTAATTCTGATTTAAGAAAATTTTATTAAATGTAGTTTGTCCATAATACCCTTTTTGAAATTCATTAAATATATAATTAAAATTAAAAAAAAATTATAATTTTTTTATTATTGCATTTTTCGAGTCGTCTTATTTAATTTTTATAAACTAAAAATTCGAATCATTTCCCAGTTTCTCCTACTTAACCTCAAGGATCGACTCTCGGTCTCTCACGAGTTTGTCGCAAACACTCCTTTCCCTAAGCCATCAAGTTTTTAGTTATGATCTATTTACTGACTTTTTTCACTTCTTCGGTCTCTGATTCATGCTTGATCGTTTGTGTTCGTCGATTGATGCTCATCGTAACATTCGATTGACAATGTCACTGTTGCTTGCTTTTTTGGGCTCTAATGGACTACTCTAATCTAATGCTCAGTCTATCATTCAGCAATCCAACCTATTCGCTATCTATGAACCCATACAATTTGAAATTAGAAGATTTCGAATACCAAATTTCGTACTTCATAGCTCGAGCAACATAACACACAACCCATTTTGCTACTCTATAATGAACCTTTGAAGGCTATTACATAAACTTGGAAATAGCACCAATAGAAAATGCAACGTCGAGGTCGTGTGTGCATTAAGTAAATCAATCCACCAACCAAGCTTCTGAACTGTCAAGCATCTAGCATCTGTCATTTCTACTCTATCTTCATGTTGTAATTTCTCTTACAATTGAGCATACTAAATTTGCTCATAATATCTTCAACGTATTTTCTTCCTGAAATAAAAATCTCATCTTCAACTTGATATACTTCAAGACCAAGAAAATAGCGTAGTAAACCCATATCTATGGCATCTCAAATTCACTCGAGGGCCAGTTTTAATCTGTGCAATAGCTTTCTCTGCTTGTATACTTTCATTTCTTTGTCTTTCTTTACGGATCACTCTAGTTGTGCTACACAGACCTCTACTTGTAAATCTTCTCTAAAGAATGCTGACTTGACATCAAACTGATAAACAGGCAACCACAATTCTGTTATTAATGTTAGAACCGTTCTTAGATTTTTAAAGCGTGCTACTGGAGAGAAAACTTCTTTAAAATCCAGACCTTGTCGTTGCGCATCCCTTTTCAAGTTAATTGATTTTTTTTTTTCTTTCATTTGGTAAATCATCCATCCCCCATGTTCTAATCTTTTCAATTGTCGGCATCCCTCTTACCATGATGTTCTATCACTATTCTTTCTATGAGATGCTTCATAAGAAGTTCGATTTTGATTTAATAAACGTCAAAATAATAAGAATAAGTAACACTGTTAAAGACTCGTAAATGACTTACAAATGGTTTCCTTCTATGTCATACTTCATAAGAAGTTCGATTTAATTTAATAGATAGACAAATGACTACATCTTCTCTCTAAAATTGGTTCGAAAGTTTCCTTACTTGTAACATACTTCTTGTCATCTCCACAACAATTAAATTTTTTCGTTCAGTGATTTCATTTTTTATAGAGTGTAACGAGTTGTTAACTCCACGGAAAGATTTGGTTTGCATTTACCTACAGAAATCAACATGAATTAATTCTAGACAATTTAAAGTTGTTTTAGCTCTTCCAACACGAAACAACTTTCTAGTTTGCTTGCCATAAATGCATGCTTCTAGATGAATTCATTTTTGGTAACCTTAAAACTCATACTTTTATCGCAGAGTGATTTTATGCCCTTTATACGAATATACCCATATCAAGAGAAAAATTGCACACGTTAGAAGCATCCAATGAAAACATCTTATTTGAAGTGGTGAGAATTTGAACTTTCTGGCCAGATTTCTTATTTTAATGACACGTGTTGTCATGAAATAGAACTGTCATCAATTACCTAATAAATTATACCCTAAATCACGCACAAATTGAACACTACCAACCGTTTTATCTTACCATAATTAATTTTCTTTTCCTTTATATAAACTAATGCACTTTACTTTGCTTGGGATTGCTGGGATAAAAACTTCATAGAGTAGAACGGTATTTATAGATGTTAAACAGTGAAGATCGAACTGTCTTTGTTAATCATTTCTCCCTCTACCCCTGCTACCATGACCAAGGCTGTCACAAAATCCTCCTCTTCTACGACCTCTACACGTCGAATGAACATTTTTCCCTTTGTTGGTGGCGGTAGTTCTTCACTTGAAGTGTCATTTCTTTATTTTTTTTCTTATGATCTATTGATAACTCATGAGTTTGAAGAGAGACCATTAGTTCATCAACATAACGTACTAATAGATCCTTAGCTTCTTCTAGAGTAGCCACCACATGGTCAAAGTTTGGAGTTCAACTTCTCAACACCTTTACTACGATTGTTCAGACCATAAGCAATTAGGATTTGGTTGAATGAATGGATTGTTATATGATTAGCATGTGTTACTGCAAGGATTAGACCTGAGTTATTGAGGCTAATAGCCCTATTGATTAAGTGATGGATGATAGAATGTCGGTCACGTGAGTTATGAGTATGGCTTTCTATATAAAAATATGATATGTTGTACCATATCAATGAACTATTGCTTTTATATCGTGGGACCTCGTTCATGTTGTGGTCATATGCATACAGGTACGCAACTTTATCTTGTGTTCTCTTTTTTATGTTTGTTCTACCTATGCAAGCAATACATAGACCCGTAGCTATGGCTAAGGAGTATAATAGTGATATTAGCCTAATGGGTTCATGTGTATGTACATGAGTCATGTATATAGAAGTAATATACATATAAAATCTCACCAGTTATGATACTTATAGTCGTATTGCATGTGTTGTATGCATTTTCTAATCTCAATAGTCGGGTCATTTACTTAGTATTTTAAATACTCACTCTTCTCCAAAAAAATTTGAGGTAAAAACATGTAATCCTAAATAATTGATAGTATTTTTCGTGGAGCTATACGATAGTCCATTGTAGTTAGCTTCTGCATTCGATCACAATCGGGAAGTAAAAGATGATTTTTTACTTTAATTTGAAATATTTAATGTAAGAATATAGATGAATAATTGTATTAGACATACAAAAGAATCCAAATTAGGGCAGAAAAGAAGATGTGGGGTTGTAATAATTCAATGGATCACTGCATATGGCCTCCCTAATAATTTATCTCTAACAATAGTGGACCATACACCATTTATCTTTTCCCATTTTTAGGGAAACCTTCCCTTTTTTAATAGGTAAAATGATAAAAATCGAGAAGTCCAATGAACCCGGACCAACCCAACCCGAACTGTAAAGGTTGAGCTAGGTTGGATTACCTTTTCGGGTTGGTTTGGGTTCATTTTTCTAAATTGGAACTGACTCGTCTCGGTTTTGGGTTCATGGGGCAAAACCCTCGGATTGACTCTAACCAAATAAAAATATTTAAAATAGAGAGTTGGGTTGGGTTGTGAAAATTTTACTTTATCTAATTTATCTAAATGGAATTGCTCATAAAAGTATTTATCGATTTTATCGATATCCATCGATATATCTAGATAATTATATATATCGATATAATTATATATCCATATAATGAAAGGGTAGATAAAGATAATAAAGAGAGATAAAGAAGGGCTTTTTTCAAGCCTTCATTTTCTATTTTTTATACTATGTATCATAGTAATTATCCTTTTTCAATTTGGGGAGAGATGGTTGAGTGGACCTATTTTTTATACTATGTATCATAGTAATTATCCTTTTTCAATTTGGGGAGAGATGGTTGAGTGGACTAAAGCGTAGGATTGCTAATCCGTTGTACGAGTTTTTTGTACCGAGGGTTCGAATCCCTCTCTTTCCGTTTCTGTCAATTACTTGGTATTTTTTTATAGTTTAGGAAAGATGTGGAATAGATAAAATTTTTAGAACATTTCAAAAGTTGGGTTAGGTTACCAATCCAACCAACCCGAACTTTTGGATTGGGTTAAAAAATTCCCTCAACCCAACCAAACCCAGACCATGTACACTCTTAATGTATACAAGTTGGGTTCGATTGAATTAAAAAAATCTTTTGGACAAACCCAAAATTTTGAGTTGGTTGGACCAATGACACCAGCAACAGACATCGAATTTAAGTTGGATTTGATGGGTTGTCAGGTTGTTTTTTTTATTATTATTTTAAAAATCATTATTATATTGTAACATTAATAATTAAAATCTCATAAATCTCAAATATCAAACATTTCCAAATTAAAACTTATTATTGATATTGGTTACAAACGTCAACTATTCTTAAACGTCAACTATTTTATTTTTCTTTTTTTAAATAATCTAAAATATGTATTATTATAAAAGTGAAAATTGATTTAATTAATTAATACATTAAATAAAAACACGACAATAATCCAATCTTAGTAAAGAAAGAGACTAATTATTTGAAATCAAAGATTTGATTTTTACGCTTCCAAAAAAAAAAAAAAAAAAAATACAATACAAAATATTTATAAAATAAAACTTAAAATAAATATAAATAAATTAAGAAATTAATATTATATAAAAAAAAAATACAAATAGACAACTCCAAACCATCCAAACATGTGTTCTTTCAATTTAAGAAATATTTTAAAAAATCTTACTTATTTAATATATTTATATATATATAAACTATCGTTTTATAAATAAATGAAAAGAATTAGGAGAAAAATGGAAGAAATTTGTAGGAATCACTAAAATTATAATAAAAATATAAATATAAATATTAGGTCCCACCAACTATTTAACCCAAGAATTAAGATTTTTTTTTGTTTTTTTTTTTTTTTTTTGTTTAGATTTGTTGAATTTTTAGAACTTAAAAAGTTTATTTTGCTTTGTATATTGAATTTTTTTTGTCGAGTCAACTGACTTAACTCGAGATTAGGGTTCACAATCAAACTCTATCTTTTATACTGGTAGGAAGATTAAGAATATTTGAAGAATTCATAAAAAAAT